GATGTGACCAGAATTTTTATTTGTCTGAGGTTTCAAACGCCGTCGCGGATTCTTCATTAGAGACATCAGCATAAACAGTAGCAGAAACGGATGTTTATGCTTATGCCTCAGATGAAGAATCCGCGGTAGAATGCCAGTTTGGGCCCCAGATCAGCATGCGAACGCCAGCCGTCTCTTTAGTGCAGAACCGACTGAAATGAAGTGTATACAGTCTGGCAATACATATGAAAGGGAATATAAATAAAAAATAAGGCTTGTAAAAGTAGAAAAAAACGGAATAATAATTTAAATGCCCTAATGCATATCAACAAAAAGTGCGTCATGATTGAATTGTGCAATTATGCAAATATTGGGAATAAATAAATTAAAAAATAACCGAGAAAAACCAGATTAACCAACTAAAAACGCAAATAACGGTAGGCGAATCTGATTTAATTTTAAATATGTTCCAAAACTAAAATAAAAATAGTAAGCATAATGATGAAGTGAGAAATAAACTGAAAACTAAACTTGAAAACAAGTACGTTAAATACACTAAATAAAAGAAACTTGCGTAAATTTGTTGCGCATATCAATTGAGGGTATGCCTAGTACTTAGCGCCGCGAACTATCCTAATCTAACTCAATGAGCGTAAATTAGACCCCAGTTAAGTTGAAGTGGACCACCTCCTCACCTCCAAATCTTTTTTTTCAGGAATATCACGAAACCCAATAAACTATAAAGTAAAAGAAAGTGAAAAAATGTCCACATTTCGCACAAACTAAATACGTAAGAAATATAAGTAAAGCTCTGTGTTTATTTAAGGCGCGACACTTTTATTGCGAAAACATAAGAATATTGATGATGAAGCTTTGAGATGCTCTCTGAATGTCAACATCTGATCCCCTTCGATGACAAAGAAGCTATCATTCCCATCTGCATGGCAAATGTCTCGTTATCTTGTCGGTTGAGATCGAGAGTTAAGGCAGGTGAGTACTTTCCTATCAGGATGTGAAACTTACTCCCCCCACCGATGTACCTTGGAACTCCAACTAGGATTCTCGCGGGCAATCGCATAGTGACTAGTAGTTGACAGTAGTGGTATGCGAGATTATAAACTGACCGGTAAGCGCTTACCTACCAGAATTAATATTCCAGATCCCAACTGACAGAATAATGGATTCAGAAGAAGACTCGATCGCTGGGATGTTTATTCGCCCGACGTTTCGTCATCCGTCGCGGATTCATTATCAGGGACATAAGTAGGAAACAGTAGCAGAAACGGGTAATGCATGCAAAGAAGTTGGCAGTATTTATAGGATACAGTCATTACTGCAAACACACAACGACAATTAACGTTAATTGCCTTCTTGCGCGTGGATAGCTTGTTGGACGGCACGTGTTGAACTTTCATCACGGGCAGTGGGCTCGGGCGTGATGATTGCTCTGCCGTCTGGCTCTCCGGTGTTGGCGCAAGCTTAGGCGGTGGTTTGCCCGTTCCCCGACTGACGACTCACTTTAGCCAAATTGAGTCTCAGCACTGAATATGGATTGGGCAAATCGTCGCACTTGTTGATGGATTGGGGGCCCGCGAACCATGACTCAAGTACTTCTCGGCTCACCCGATGGTCATCTCTTGCGAGAATTTCGGCCTCATCAAATTTGAACATGTGGCCGGGTCTCGTCGAGTGAGCCGCAACCTGAGAATTGGCATCATTTCACCGCACTGCTGCCGCGTGTTCGGTAATTCGCGTCTTGAGAAGTCTGCCAGTTTCTCCGACATGGCTGCTCTGACCGCAACTGCACCGGATCCTGTAGACGACCCCGGATGTTTCTTGCCGTGGCAGTGGGTCTTTCGGC